GCATGGCTCAGACAGCCCGCAGGCTGAAGAGCGGGAGAAGGGCATGGACAATGAGTGGAGAGAGATTTAGGGTCCTTCTGTCACTGCACTCACTGGGTGGCAGGCACCCACCTGGCTTTGGCCTTCCCCTCCTCTTGTAGAAATAAGCAGAGCAGGTCTGTGGGGAGGCTGGCGATGGCAGCTGCCTCCCTCCAAGTGCATTTGGCTTCATTCTCTACAACCCTTGGGGATTTCAGGACATAGTGTCATGGTCAGAAATAAGGATAAGGAAACTTCTTCCCCCAGAAAAGAAGTGCCCCTGGCTGAGGCCTAATTAGGGGAGAATGAGGGAGCTCTGTGGGGCCTGAGAGAGAGGACCAGTGACCTACCCCCAGCAAAGTGCCAGGTGCCCAGCATGTCCCCAGAGAGGAAAGAGCCCTGAAGGTTTCTGTCCTTCACACTTGGCCTAGAAGAGGTTAGAGAGCTGCCCCATCAGAGAAAGGCTCAGGGGATGAAGGCTATGTGTCCCATGGCCTCTTTAGCCAGGCCTTTGACAATGGGCCCTCTACCCTCCACCAGCCTGTACCCAATAAACCTACCTCAAGTTGCAGTGCCACTGTGGAGGCAAGGAACAACAAAAAGGACTGAGATGAAGTTTTCCACTGTCCCAGTGAAATGAGTAATTGATCCTGAAATTACAGAAGAAAGCTAAACGATGGATTTGAGTTGTGTGTCTTTCCCTGCTCAGTAGATGAACTGTAGTTGATACCTGAGCCATGCAAATGAGAACCCCAAAACTCAGGAAAGACCCGGAGAAGTCCTAAGACATCCAGTCAGTATGGAGAGGAGGCAGGGCCTGGACTAGTACTATTTGTGAGCCTCCAAGCCCAGTACTGCCTACTTTAAATATCAGGAGCCAGAATGTCCATCCAGAGAGACTGGTGAAAGCCAGGCCAGTAATTCTAGCAGTTGGGAAGTTGAAGCAGGAAGGCCACAAGTTTGAGGCCAACTTGGGATATATGTAGCCAGATGCTCTCAAAAAGAGACAGAGAAAAAAAAAAAAAGAGAGGGGGCAGGAAAACTGACCTGTCAAGTAAGTATGGAGGGAGGAGAAACAGAGAGATCATATGTACCAATAGGTAGTGACTTCCAAGACAGGCTACTAAGTGAAATTAAAATTAAAAGTACACAGGTGACTCAGAATTGTCACAATGAACCCCCTGTACAATGAATATATCCTAATATAAATTTTTTAAAAATAAAAGTGAATTATACAAGTAAAAAAAGTGCATAGGTGCTTATTTTTTGCATAAATAACCCTAGCAGAAGCCAAGAATCCAGTACAGCAATGTCTCCAGGAAGAAGCTGGGTGATAAGGAGACAGACCAGAGAAGAAGTTTGCCTGTGGAAACTTCCATATCTTTTGGATTTCAAGAGAATCATCTATTCAAAAAATAAAAACACTTTTTACAAAAGAGAATGACAGGCTCTCTTTGTTCAACCCTGTTAAATTTGATGATGCAGATCCCTATTGAGTGCCTGGATGTGCTAAGCCTTTGGTAGGTGCTGTGAGCTCTGCCATGATGGAGCCCACTCACCCCAGGCAACCCAGGCCCCCATGTGGACTTTGGGATGTGCAGCCACAGGACTCCCACAGCCTCTCCCCTGTTATGCCACCCCAGGAACAGAGTCTCAGCTGGTGAGGAGTGAGGGTCTGTCCAGAGCCAGCCTCACTGGGCGGTCTGGGCCCAAACTCCCCAGGCCCACACGCCCCTTCCGGCAGTGGAGAGGTGGGAAGGCTGGAAAGGGTGGTACACAATCTGCCCTTTCTTTTCAGATGGTAGGGCTCACTGCTTGTAACCAAGGCAGCCGTTCCTGTGAGGGCCAAAGGAACAGTGAGCCCCCAGATGGAGGCAGTCTGGGTGGGCAGACCCAGACTCTGGAAATGCAGCCAAAATCCACCGCAGTGGAGGCTGCCCCTCTCCCCTGCTGGCCCCCTGCATCCTGCCCCAACCACACTGTCCAGGCCACTCCTATCAGAACCTGGATTCTGTGCTTCCCCTGCCCCCACTTACATTCTCAGATGGTGCCCATGGGTGTCACACAGCCACTCTACTGTGTGTTCCTGAGACTCTAGGGGACTAGGGGAGGTTCTGGGGAGCCACTCGGTGTTGGGGTGTGGCTGTAGAAAGTCAGAGAATCACAGAAAGCTCTCCCAACCAAGCCATTGCTTCCAGTGATCTTCATGAGACCCCAGGTATCTGTGGGAGGGGGAATGGGGCAGGGTATTGCCTTCCAAGTACAGATGAGGAAACTGAGGCTTGCCAGGTAGCTAGAGAGTAGCAGAACTGACATTTTAACCCAGGTGTCCTGACCAAATCTGATTTTCTTCACAGTATTGTTGGAAGAGAGCTCAGAGGTGGCTTTCTATAAACTTGTTTTACAAATGGTAAACTGAGGTCATAGAGGGAAAGAAAAATCTCCAAGGTCACACAGCATGTAGAAGACAAATCCCAGTCTCAAGAACTCAGTCTAGAGGCCATTTATCATCTGTCAAGGGGATGAGAAAGGCAGGTTGGCTGGGTGACCTGACACCCTCTCCCTTACAGTGTCAGCTGATCTGTTCTACTTTGATTCTCAGAAGTTGCTTGTAGACCAGTGACGGTGAACTCAAATGTCCTAAAGCTCAAGCAGGTAAGGGAATGGGGTAGTCTTGGCCATGGACTCTAGGCTGAGACAGCAAAGAGGGTGGCCACTATGTTGAATGGGGAAGCATTTGCCCTGCCCAAAGGCATTCAAATTTAATTTAAAAAAAAAATCAGTACTCCAAAATATACCCATAAGGTTTGCAGGAATAGACACAGAAGCAAGAGTTGAGATTGAAGTTGGGTGTTCGGTAAATGGGGTTATTAACATTTTCCTGTGTCAATGGAGGCTGGGAACACAGCTCAGTGGCAGAGCTCATATCTTAGCAAATTCAAGGCCCTGGGTTTGCTCCCAGCACTGAGGGAAAAAAAGCAAAAAAGACAACACGAATGTAAAGGTGTCTGTGTTTTTAAATTTCTGTAATAAGATTTTTAAAAACTGCGTGTGCTATCAAAAATTGTTAGGTCCTTAAGCCATATCACATCCGCAGGCCACCAGTTAGCAGACCTTCCTGAACAGTTGCTGGCCGTCTTTTGCCTTTATTCTAATTCTGACTGCACAGCCTGGGATGGGGAGATGAGAGGAAGGATGGTGACACGTTGACTCAGGAAGGGCTTGGAAGTTGGTTGCCATTTTGCCCAAGGGCACAGGCTCTTGGGATCTGGATGGATCCTATATAAACGGATGCAGGTGACACCGCCTGCATACCACCCCTGGCACCCTGCCGGCCTCCATTCACCTCTCCACCACACTGCCCACCACCCACTATAGCTAGGGAAACAAGCAAACCTAGGCTCTGGCCTCAGGCTGCAGAACAGACTGGACTCGAGGATTTGGGGCACACAGCGTGGAGATGGAAGATGTGGGTTTTATTTTTCTCTTCTCCTTTTCTTAGGGTGATTACCATTCACCATAATTCCTTTCCTAAAACCTGGTATCTTCCAGTTTGTTTTTGTTTATTGATTGATTAGCAGTACTGAGGTTTGAACTCAGGGCCTTACACTTGCTAGTTAGGTGCTCTACCACCTGAGCCACACCTTTTTTTAATTTAGCTATTTTTTCAGGGTAGGGTCTCATGCTTTTTTTGCCCAGGCTGGCCTCAGACTATAATCCTCTTACCTGTGCTTCCAGAGTAACTGAGATTATAGGCATGTACATCCATGCATGGCCATAACATCTTCCCAGTTTGTAAAGTGCTAATTGTTTCATAGTCATGATATTGTTTATCTTCCCAATCCTGTGAGATACATATTACCCCCGTTTTATAAATGGGGACACTGAGACTCCTCATGATTCAGTGGCCTGTCCAAGATCACATTGCTGTGAGTGGCAGAGCCTAGGGCTACTGACCATAACTTAAATATTCTTTCTTCTTCCTCTGTCATTGGTCTCTGCAACTCTCCATGGACCTAACATGACAAAGAAGAAAATTTCATTGAGGTTCTGAGTAGTCAACCTGGAAAGCATTACATTTTGCTGGGCTGCTACTTAACTCCAAGTGCCTTGTAACTTTTTAACCAAGGTAATGGTTGTACTTGAAGGGGTTTTCTGGGAAGCTGACATGGGATTTTCCTCAACACACTTTGTGTGATGACCATATAGCCCCAAATCTCACCTGGGTGTGATACAGAGAAGTGAAAGCAGGCTCCAACATTGTCCATATGAGCTAGAGACAGTGACTCTAGGTTTTGCATCAGATCTGATTTCTGCTTTAATTTGCTGTGTGACTCCAGGCCAGACTTTTCCCTTTCTGATCCTCAAGCCAGCCCTCTGGTTGCCAAACTTGTTATCTCCAGGGCCACCTCACTACCCAGTGAGCCTCTACTCCCTCAGCCACCTCCTGGAGAGGATTGTCTCTGCTCAGAGAAGCATCCCAAACCCCCCACTGTGTTGGAAATTTACACCAGTGAGTAAGGGGCATCAGAAGGGGGGCCAGTACTGGACCCAGCGCCTCACCCTGGCCTCTCCTGGCATGGAGACTGCTTTCCATGCCTTTTCCTTCCTTAGTTTGGCTTGTTTTCCAAGCATGGGTCACAGAGTCCCTCTCCAGAAGCAGCAGCAGAAGGAAAGTTTTTAAAGGCGAGTCCATCGTGGGCATGGTGTGTAGATGAGGTCTTTGGAGTTTTGGCTGCCAAATAAAGACTTTATTGTTGTCATTCCTCTTTTCCCAAGCTCCCTCCCGCTCTCCTCTCCTCCCTCCTCCTCTCTTCCTCTCCCTCCCTGCGATCTGCCCCTCCCTCCCCTAACCTAACCTCCCCACCCCAGTAGGATCTGGTGGAAGAAAAGCCAAGCAAACACAGCACGCACACACCACTGGGAGTTCAGAGCTTCTAGCAGGCTCTTTGCTGCCACAGCTCCACTGAAGGGTGGGGAGGAAGAGGAGGACTGCCCCAGAGCCCAGAGGAGAGGCAGGTGTGTGCAGGTAAGCCCAGGCAGTGGGGAGAGGACAGGAAGTCAGGTTGGGAAGTCTCCTGCACCAGCTTTCCTCTGGCTCCTTCCACCCTAGCCTATTGATCTATTCTTTCTTTCTTTCTTTCTTTCTTTCTTTCTTTCTTTCTTTCTTTCTTTCTTTCTTTCTTCCTTCCTTCCTTCCTTCCTTCCTCCCTCCCTCCCTCCCTTCTTTTCTTCCTCCCTTCCTCCAACTTTTTCTCCTCTGCAAAGAGCTCAAATTTAATCTTCCTCATTTTTTGCTTATACTGAATCATTATATTGACTTACTGCTGAGGTTAAACTTTCTTGGTGCAGATGTTTCGGGGAGCACTGAGAGTTATGTCGTACACAGAATTTCAACAGATGAAGTGTTGCCATAGAAACTGGGCACTAGAACTCATTTCTCTGTACCTCTCATGTATTGTCACATGTTATCAAAGACACACACACACACGTACATCCTGCATCTTGTCTCTCACCCTCTCACTCGCCTCCCAGCTGCAAGTGCAAGAGAAAGTGCATCTTCCCATGGCAGAGTCAGAAGAAAGTCATGTGTCCTGAGTCTAGGCGGAGTGGGGAGGAGAAGAGCAAGAGCGGGAGCTGGAAGGATTTCTTCCTGCCTTCTTTTGGGCTTCATTGGGTGGGAGGGAGAGCGGAGAGCAACGTGGCTCTCCAACCTGCACAGTATCTTCTCAGCAGCCTGAATTCCTCTGTCTCCCTGGTCCAAACCACTTGGTTTTTGGAAAGAGAAAAGAAGACAACCCAGTCTGCAAATCTTGGAGGTCCTAACTCCCAGATATAGGGCAGTTAATTTTTTTCTTTTTCTCTGAAAGTAGCCAGAAAAAAAAGTCTCTTTGAAGCTATTCTGAAACTATCCTGACCACTTGGGTTGGCAAGGGGGGCTGTGGTAGAGAAAAAAACTTCCTGAGGCAGTCAGGGAGTGGAAACTGAGGGAGCCCCCTTCACCTCCCTAACTCATTCCTCTCCAGCAATAGAGAAGAGGGTCCCATGGCAGGTAAGATATGGGCGAGGGGACCTACATACAGTGGGTCTTCAGAATCACCTAGAGTGGGGAGGGGGAACGTGGAGGGCTTGCTAAAAACACAGGGGACTGCACCATCTCCCAAGCCCACTGAATGGAGACCCAGGAGTCCAGAATCTAACAGTCCACCAGGTCTTGAGAACCTGAGTTAAGGGCCTGAGACCTTGCTGCCATCCTGTTCCCCCCACCACAACCCCCCGCCCCCCAGTGCTCACTGGGCAGAAGGCTGTGTGGCTGGCTGGAGAAAGAGTCTCAGTGTCCAAACCTTTGAGGTTTGGGAGTGAACATCAGAGGGAATAGGAAAGATCTATGAGCCTCTGTCCTTCTCCTCACAAGCCTAGTTAGGCATATCCCAGAAGAACATTTTAGAAAGTTCCCTCAAGATACTTCCAGAGAGTTGACGTTTCCTCTCACCTGCTAAGCTGCCTGCCCAGACACTCCAGACACTCAGGATGGTGCTGGGCCCTGCCCTGTCCCTTCTAGATCCCCTCTCCCACTGCCTGGCACTGTGTATCCCAAAAGGCTCTCTCAGGAAGGTCTGAACAGTGATGCGTTCTTCACTCCTCCCCTGTTCCTCCCTGGAGGGCAGCTGCATTTATTGGGCATTTAAGTGAAGCATCTCAAGGTGGAAGGACAATAGAGTCTGATGCAGTCCTGGGTTACAGTGGGACTTGGAGCCAGTAGAGGAAGGACAGACTTTTCCCTCCATGGTCTGCATCCTCTACGTGTTGCAGAAAGCGTGGGACTGAGTTAGACAATGGGGGAGCTGGAGAGACAGCGGAAACTTTTTCCAGGTGGCTGGGGGCTCCTAGGGTCTCCAATTAGTTGGTTCAGAGTCTTATGAGTGGTCTCCCAAGCCACAAAGGAGAGAAAGTTGCTCAGTGTGGAAGAGCCCGTACCCCAATGGCAAGTACCCTTCCAGCAGTGTATGAAGATGCTCTTCTCCACCAGCCCAGGCTGAAGGAAAAGTGACCCCATTATTTTGAGAAAATATCAACCATCCCTTAAGAGTCACTGAACACTCACTTTGCACAATTAACTTATTCAACCCTCAAAACAATCTGAGAAGTTGTTGGCTGGGGCTGTAGCTCAGTGGTAGAGCCTTTGCCCAGCACGCACAAGGTCCTGGATTCATTCAATCCCCAGCAACACACACACACAGAGTTAGTGTACCTATTTCAAAGATGAGAAAACTGAGGCTTGTCCAGGGGTACTCAGCTAAACAGCTGCAGGGTTGAGATCCAGATTTATAACAATCCGAGGAACTGGGCAGGTTCCTCCTGGCTTTTTTTTTTTTTTCAGCAGTTAAAGATGCTGGGGAGGGAGGCAGATGGAGAATATGACAGATAACAGGCTGCCAGAGGATCAGAGCCCTTTCCCATTGCTCTTCTGGACTCATCTCCTGAGGCCATGAGAGCTTCTGTTTACATTTTGCCTGTGGTAGACAAATGGTGGGGAGACAGATGGTGTCTACATAATAGTGTTATACTTATTTTTAGCATTTTTTGAATAGCAGCACAATTTAAATTTGCTTATCACACTTGGTTCTGACAGCTGGATAAGGAAGATAGGAATAGGGAAAGTTTTATTAGCCTTGTTTTACCGATAAGTAAACTGAGGCTCATAACAGGATCAAGCCAGCCCTAATGGGTACCTTGAAAGGGTCTCAGGCAGACTGGGGGCACCTGGCTCATTCCTCTGCTAACGAATGGGCAGAGACCCCAATTCTAGGCTTGTGAAGGAAGAGTAAGGACTACCCTAACATGCGTGGCCATGTGTCTGGAATAGGGAGTTGTCTGGGTTAAGCCACAAGGAGGCTTGGGACTGACCAACTAGATAGGAAACCTGACAAGGAAGGTCTCTTTCCATAACGTAGATTAACTAACCCACCCAGCCCTAAGAGACAAACCCAACCTCAGGCCCAGCCCAAGTCCAGCCTCTCCTCCCAAAGCCACAGGTCCTTAGACCTGCCCTTGGGGAACAGAAAAACCCACTGGACCTCAGCCCAGCACTGCCCCAAGCACAAACATGGCACTGTCCCAGGGCTCTAACCTTAAATGAAGGTTAGATAGGGAAGAGGACTGCCTCACTTTGAAATCAAGGTGTCTCTCAGAGAGCCTGCCCTCTATAACGTGCCTTTAGATGCAATGATTTCATACAAATGAGGAGTCTGGGCCCAAGAAGAGAATCAGAGGCAGGATTCAAGCCCAGATTGACACAGTCGGAACTGAAATTTGAATATTAAACTCTCTTAGGAAATGCTCCTAAATGAGTGAATTTTGGGTTGGGCAAAGAAATCGTTCAGCTTCTCAGCAAAGCAGCAACTTTTTTGAGAGCCCAAAATAGAAAACTGGACTGTATGAAGTTCATTGTTATAGGTGGTCAACAAGCAGTCTTTGAGCAATGAGCAGGGCCCAGTAGGGAGTAGGGGAGTGGGGAGGTGTGCTTGCAGAGGCATAAGAAGTTTTAAACACACACACACACACACACACACACACACACACACACACACACACACACACATCATTCTAAGGGCGCTTATGATTGGACAGAGTTTATGTTCTGGAAGGCAGGAGCACACAGCCATGGCTTTGGGCTTTGTGGGAGGGCCATAGGCCCCCTTTGGAGTCAGTCACCTCCAGTCTCCTGGTTGTAGGACACTGGCTGTCACAGAGCATTGCCAGAGAGAAGGGCTATGCAGCCATGCTCTGCAGGAAGGGGCGTGGCCCTTGAGAAAGGCCTTAGAAACAACATGCTCTCCTTGTGCACTCTGCACACAGAAAGGCTCTGATTCAGTCCTCGGGCTGGGGTGGGGTGAGGGGAGGCAGGAGCAGGTTGGATCCAGTTTCCCCAGGAAACGCCCACATCCCAGGGAGCTTTTCCTAAGGTCCTCCTTCCTGCAGGCTCTGGGAATGTGGAGTGGGAAGCTAAGACAGATTCCAAAAGGATCTAGCACAGGAGGTAGAGATGAGGAAGGCTTGTGTGTCCTATGCCTGAGAAGGTTTGGGTCCCCAGTCATGGAGAGCAGGGTTGCCCAGTCAGAGACACTGAGGCACCTAACCCTCGCACAGGCCAGCTGGCCACACCACTGCCTCACAGAGCAGGCTTTGCTGGGTGCCCTGGCAAGTATTGTTGCTTAATTAGCGTCCACTGCCTCACTGCCTCCTATGTGCTTTTGGTGACAAGGGGAAACAGGGAAACCTGTGCTGGTGCTAGCCTTGGCCTTGGGGCAGGGTTGCTTGCAAGATGACGGAATTCTTGCTTGTTTCCAAGTCTTCTGGGTAATTAAAAAACAAAGAAATTTAAAAAGAAAGAAAAAAAAAAAAAACAGGGTCACAAAACTTTGGAACTTTAGAAAGTGCTTGTTTTTACAATGCAAATGCTTTAACTATCCCCTTAGTTTGTATGTAATGATTGCACTGTTTTCAAGACAATTACAAGCCTTCTAAAAACATTAATTTGTAATTCACCAGTTACAAGTGATGTAGAGTCCAGAAACAAGACTCAAGTTTAAATTCTACAATGAATGTCTTGTCTTGCCCTTCAGTGTATCCTGAGGCTGGCATATTCTCAATGCAGATAAAGCCAGCATCCTGACAGCAGGTCCCCTGTAATAGGAAGCTCGGGGAAAATGGCCTTTGTGATGCCCTTGGAGAGGACTGTCTGGGAAGAGACCCCTCAGGAGAAAAAGGAGAAGGGTGAGAGGCAGCAAGATGGCCTCTGCCCTTCCTCCCTTCCCCCCTCCCTCCCTCCCTCTTCCCCTCGCTTCTCATGCTAGTGGATGGCACCATGGCTCACACATGCACATAGAGGGTGTGCAGATGAGAAGACTATGAATATGTGTGTACAAGAGTGTGCAGGCTAGGGGCAAGGGTGTGTGTGTGTGTGTGTGTGTGTGCACATGTGGGTGGAAGCCATGGTGAGATCCCTCTACCCATCCAGGCTGAGCTCTGCCCCCTTTCCTTTTCTTGTCACAATCAGCAATTCCTGAGCATCTGGCCCAGAACCCAGCAGCTGGTGAGGGGCTTCTGTGGCCTTCCTTTGATCAAAGCTAGCAGAAGGCAGATGTTGAGACAAGCAAAGGAAGAATCCATGCTGATGGGGGCTCAGCGGGAAGGTGAGGGTGGGGCACGGATGGGAGGCAGAGATCATAAGTCCAGATACAAGCTAGGACACATGCCAACCCCAAGAAATTATATCCTCCATATGTCCCAGAGCCCAGGACAGGGGAACAGGCCATCACAATTGAGAGAAACAGGCAAGGAGAGCCAGTTGAAGCCATGTGGGGAGGGAGCACAGAAGGGGAGGGAAAGGCACAAGGCACCCCTCCCTGAATCCTTCCTGGCCCAGGCCAGGAAGGCTTGGGGAGGGGGGAGTTCCACTCTCCATCTGCGGCCCTGGATCTATTTATATTTCCCCAGTTTCAACTCAACTCCAACCACATGGCCCTAGCCAAGGGATCATCAGGGCCAACCCTAAAAGATCCTTCAGCTTCCCATTCCAGTGTCACTGAGGCTATCAGAAATTCTTTTTGATACCCTACCTCAATACTACCAACTCCAAAAGATGTGGAGCAGCCCTGCCAGGTCAAAAGAAAGTGTTTTCCCCACATACTTCTGTTCCTTTTCTGTTTATTTTCCCAGGAGCCTCCACATCTGGGAGAAATTTTTGGCATGGCTTGCACTGGCAAAGACCAGCATTCTCTGAGCCAAGTACAGAGGGGAGGCCCAGAACATGGGTGCAGGGTATCTGAGCACTTCCTTTCCTCCCATGAGCATGTCTCTGCAAAGCAGGGGACCTGGATTTCTGTCCTGCATCTGCTGTCAGATGGCTTCCTGGCCCTGGCAAGCCACTTCTTTCACCAGTCTCAGTTTTTGTAAACAGGGAGGTCTGGACTTGATTGGTGGGTTTCAAACCATTTTTAGCCATGAAGCCCCACCACCCTTGAGTGTTTTGTCTAAACCTCAATACATGTAACAGATTTAAAAAACAGAGCTACTCAAGTTGGTACAGGAATGAGCTGGGGGTATTCCAAGCTTCCTGGGATACTGACTATCCCTCACGGGGCCTCACAGAAATGTTGACACAGTTTGAAAACCATTGTCTTATGGGATTTGTGAGAGCCCTTCCAGAAGTGCCACCCCAGGACTCTCTGGATCTTGCATCCCATCCCCCTTATAACGCAGGGATAGTTTTCTCAGGGTGGTGGGGCTGAAGGAACAAAATACATTCACTGGGTTGGAGGTGAGGGTCCATGGTAGAGCACGGACTAAGAATGTCCCCTTTATGAAGGCAGGGATGATTTTCTCACATCAGAAATGGAAAGACACAGGGCCATGAAGGTGAAGGGTCTTTGTCAACAAGCCTCAGGACTCCGATTCCAGCCTCTTGTGGTTTCTACCAAGATGCTTACCCTCTTCAGAGAGGCTGAAGGCATGGCAAGGCTGGGCCTCTGAGCAGAGAATCCAGAGCCCCAGGTCCTTGTTGCTTCCTCACTGCTCTATAGGTCCCTGACTCCGCTCTTCTTTTCTGGAGCTCATCCTGGCTGGTCCTAGCCACAGAGACATGGGATCTATTCCTGAGGCAAGCTAATGAACTCCTGTTTCCTCCCTGCAGGTGCATCACCTGGATCATGAGGTCATCCCTTTGCTGGCTCCTCCCACTGCTCCTCATCTCGGCCTCAGTAGCCCAAGGCCAGCCAACAAGACAACCAAAACCTGGGGCCAGGCGCAAGCTCAGGCCCAGACCCTCGCCCAGGCCCAGACCCACACCCAGCTTCCCTCAGCCCCATGAGCCAGCGGAGCCTACAGACCTGCCTCCCCCGCTCCCTCCCGGCCCTCCATCTGTCTTCCCTGACTGTCCCCGGGAATGCTACTGCCCCCCTGATTTCCCATCAGCCCTCTACTGTGATAGCCGCAACCTGCGTAAGGTCCCTGTCATTCCACCCCGCATCCATTACCTCTATCTCCAGAACAACTTCATCTCTGAGCTCCCCGTGGAGTCCTTCAAGAACGCCACAGGCCTGAGATGGATCAACCTGGACAACAACCGAATCCGCAAGGTGGACCAGAGGGTGCTGGAGAAGCTCCCCGGCCTGGTGTTCCTTTACATGGAGAAGAACCAGCTGGAAGAGGTGCCCTCGGCCCTGCCCCGGAACCTGGAGCAGCTCAGGCTGAGCCAGAACCTCATCTCCAGGATCCCGCCTGGGGTCTTCAGCAAGCTGGAGAACCTGTTGCTATTAGATCTGCAGCACAATCGGCTGAGTGATGGTGTCTTCAAGCCTGACACCTTCCAGGGCCTCAAGAACCTCATGCAGCTCAACCTGGCCCACAACATCTTGAGAAAGATGCCACCCAAGGTCCCCTCAGCCATTCACCAGCTCTACCTGGACAGCAACAAATCGAGACCATCCCTAATGGATATTTCAAGGGTTTCCCCAACCTTGCCTTCATCCGGCTGAACTACAACAAACTGTCAGACAGGGGCCTCCCCAAAAACTCCTTCAACATCTCCAACCTGCTTGTGCTGCACCTGTCACATAACAAGATCAGCAACGTGCCCGCCATCAACAACAAGCTTGAACACCTGTACCTCAACAACAACAGCATAGAGAGTGAGTGGGGGCGGGGCCGCAGCCAGGGGGGATGGAGACACCCTTCCTTCCTCAGCAGCCTCAGGGTGGGGTTTGGACAGGGGCTAGAGTACTGTCTACCTTGCTCAATGCCCTGGGTTCCATCTCCAGCACTACCCAAAAAGAGCATCCACTTCAGCTGGGGACTTCAAATCTTGGCCTTACCATATGCTACATCTACGTGACCTTGACAAGGGCACTTCTCTGGGAAGTAGCTTCATCTGTAAAATGAGAATGGTAACAATAGCTTCTAGGACAATGGTGAGAGGGACATTTAGTGGTTTAATGTGGACAAAGTGTACAGAATAGCATGCTTGGAGGCTGTAGGTTTTCTTCCCCCATCCCTTTTCATCAGCACCAGCTTGTTTGGCCTCTGGCTCTATTAATAGGGTAGACATAGGAAATACCCCCGGACATTTTCCTAAAAAGTAGAACAGAAACATCAAAATGCTCTCCCTGGCATGTCCTGGGCCTGTCAGCTGCAGAAGAAGCCGATGGTTGTGGGAGGGAGCTTCTTCCCATAGTTGAGCGTGGGTTTCAAGAGTTGTGAAAGAGACTCAGAGAGGCAGCTACATAACTCAGGCATAAGCAACTGGTGAAAATGAGGCAGCTAGGAAACAATACCTACATGCTGGTGCTTCCTGAATGTATCTGAAAGGCTGTAGTGTTAGTTTGTATGAATTGCATTTAAGGGAGAATTTGCCTAAGCGACACTGAAAGAGTTCTGGGCTTGGAGTGTCAATTGCACTCCAGGACAGGAGGCTGGGAACCTCAATTTTGCTTCAATCAAAAATGTTAGCCAGGCATGGTGGTAGACACCTATAATCCCAGTTATTCCAAAGGCTGAGGCAGGAGGATCACAAGTACAGGACCAGCCTGGGCTACATAGCGAGAATGTCTCAAGAAAAACCAAAAACAATGAATGTATGCTTTAAAAAAATGCTCTGAGTATAACATCAGCTGAAAGGTTTGGAAATGAAAGAAAGGGTATTACCCAGTCCTTGAACAAAAACTGAAGGGTGAAGGGGACCAAGCGGGGAGAGAAGGACCCTAGAACAATATTAGAGGATCTGTGGTTTCCAATCTACAGAGTAAGAAAGAGACTGTTGAAGTATCTACAATCTTGGAACAAATGTATAGAAAAGGCCTGTTCACTTAGCTGGAATAATTACAAGTGGGGGAAGGTTCTTCTTTTTTTTTTTAATTTTGGAAGAAACAAATTCAGGAAAATAGAAAAACTGCCTAATTTGACCCTGCAGGTAGCACATTAAAATGGAAACATTGCCCCAGGAAGCTGTGTAGGCCAAAAATACAGACAGAAAGGATGCTTTAATTAGTAAGTGGCTGCCAGGTCCCTGCCAGCTTGGGGGAGAACTGGTTGCTGAAGGGTGTCTCAGCCTTCTGAGATTTAGTTAGAAAAATCTGCTTCTACTACATGTGCTCACCACACTCTGAGTGACTCCTGTGTCACTAACAGACAGAATGAACTGAGTGGGACCTAGGTCAGTGTGACAATTATGTTTTTAGCAATGATTGCAATGCTGTCACCTGTGCTGTCCTGTATAGTTTGCATAATGCTGTCACCAGCATTCTTTCAGCATCTCTCTCCCAAAGTCACAGAGCCCCTCTAGCAAAATCCACCTCTGCCTTGGCTCTTCTGTTATTCCAAGGATGAAGGAAAAACAGGAGAGGAAAGAGGAAGAAGAGACAAGAAAATTGACTCTGCCTTCTCACAAAGCTTAGGGAGAATTTAAAAAATTATATAGATGACACACCTGATGCCATCTAACAAAAGACAGAGAATGGGATCTGTGGCCGCAGACACTTCAGAATCAATAACTCATCATCTCCCCAGCTCCCTTTTCCTCTCTCAGTCATCTCCATGTTGGCAGAAACATAACCATCTTCCATCCAGCCTCACACCTCACAACCAATCCACAGGAAAAACTCCAGGGAAATTTTCACATCTACCTGCTGACTTCAGACCTTGTCTTTCTACAATAAAAACCTCATCATAGGGACTGTAAGGACCCTTCCAGATTTAACACCCCAGGATGCTATGGTTCCGATATCCTAATTCTCCAGAGCCAGTTTGCAATAACCTTTATGGATTATTTCTAACTTATATCATCTTACATGAGTAAACTGAGTCTGGACATTAGGGTGACCTGTGTATTGTCCCATATTCCCAAAGTCAGCCAGTTCCAGAAAGGAGAGCTCAAGGGCCCTCATTCTTGGTTGTCCTCCCCTTCTCCTTCTGTCTTTGCTCCCTGCTGCTGACTTCTCCCCACCTCTCTCTCCATAGAAATCAACGGGACACAGATTTGCCCCAACAACATAGTGGCCTTCCATGACTTCTCTTCGGACCTGGAAAATGTGCCACACCTGCGCTACCTGCGGCTGGATGGCAACTTCCTGAAGCCACCCATCCCTCTTGACCTCATGATGTGCTTCCGCCTCCTGCAATCCGTGGTCATCTAGACCTTGACCTGGGGCCGGACCTCCTCGGACCTCATTTGAAGGCTGGTGGCCTAGGCGCGTAGGCCCATTTTTCTCTCTCCCTCTCTCACCCCCAGCTTTGCTTCTCTTATCCCTCCTTTCAGAGGATGGGAAATGCCACATGCTTGGCTGTGGCTCTGGGACAAGACTTCCCAGGGTTTGATTGGGTTTCACACAGTTTAAAGGCACTCCTGCACGCCCAGATTTCTGGCCTTTTGTGGTCTCCCTTTGCTCCAGAAACCAGGTGTTTCTAAAGCCGTCACATCCCCTTCTTTCTTCTCCTCTACCTGTCTTTCCTGGGTAAGGTGGGGCCGTTGACTGAAATCTGATCTTGGTCCTGGCCAATTGAGAAGCTAGAGATGGTCTGGGACAGCCTGGAGGTGAGCTTTGGAAAGTTTGATTGGAAACACCAATAGAGCAGCTCTGCCTCAAACAGGCTGAGAAACCCAGGATTGCTTCTTTCAAAACTGCTGACCCGCCACCCTGTTCCCTGGCACAAGGCATTGCACTGCTCTCTGCCAGCCCACATTCTCCAGAAAGGAAGTATGAGGGAATGATAAAGGTGGGATGGAGGGTCAGAGTTCCCATAAATGCCTGCATCTGGTCATCTCTGTCCAGGGATAAGTTGGAAACCCCTCCTCATCCTCCTTCTCCTCCAGGGTGAACACAACAACCACCCTCCTGGCTGGATCTCAGAATAAAGCAGCCAAAAAATTAAATTTAGCTGGAAGGAAAGAGCTAGGGGTCATAGCCCCAGGGTGAGCCCATGGGGGTGTAGAGGAACCCTGCAGCCACCCTTGCCCAACCTCAACAAGAGGCCTGAGGCCCTGGGGAACACAGTGTTCACAGTGGAGGGTCAAGAGTTCCCCCCCACACACCCCATCTGTTCTCCATTAATGTGGATCAACCAGCCGTTTCCACCCCTGGTGGAGGTTCTTGAGAAACAAAGAGGGGGGCAGAGCACTGGGAAATCTACCAGGAACCTCTTCCACATTGAAAATTGGACTCCATCTCTAAGTCAGACACACGAGTGACACCTGGTGGCTGCTGAAGGTCACAGCTGGCCCCAGTCTTACCCTCTCTCTGGGGTGATGTTCCAAGATCAAAGAGCTGACATCAGGTTGTATCATGGAAAAGCAATGGGTGATATGCATGGTGTCTCTCTCCTCTAAGGTCTGAAGTGAGCTGGGGCTCACTTCCATCGTGAGTGAGCACAAATAGGAAACCTTTGGAAGCACACGTAAGGCTATAGTTTAACCTTGGCCTTTCCAGGTCCCTTTTGCTCTCAGCTTCCACATCTGTACACCCAGGTGGTGGGTAAGATGCTCCTCTGAGATCTCCCAACACTCCAGTTCCAAGTCTGTGGCCCCACACCCTAAAGTGTACCCCGATGTATGACAAGTCCTAACTATTTTCCTTTCCCTGGCAGTAATTTATTCTCTGTTTGGACTGTCCGTACCCCAGAGTTTTCTCCTCCTTACTTGGCCCAGGTGAGCATCTTGGCAGGTCTCCAAGTGGAACATGGGCTGCCTTGCCTTTTCTGCCCCCCACCCCCAACTTTCTCCAGGGGATGCTGCCCCTTCACAGTCCCCTGAGTGTGCATGTCGGTAGGGAGGTCATAGTTTTAGAAATGAGTAAGACACAGTACCCACCCTCAAGTTAGGATGAGAAAAGCCCCAGGGCTTTTTAAGAAATTGGGTTAAGCTGGGTTCCAGTGCAACACCTCTTGCTCATCTTTCTCTTTTGCTAATCGTAGAAAATAAGGCCCATTTCATCACAGCCTCCTTCCCTGCTCCATACAACTTCCCCGTTCTTCCTAGTTGTAGCTGGTTTCTCCAAGGCTCCCGCTTAAAGTCGATATATTATTATGGCTGTAAGCAACCTGGTGCTATGGCCTGGATAAGCCCCTTCTGCACCTATTCATACCTTGCAACCTCAGCTCCTTTGGTGAGGCCCATGGGGACCACAGTTCCCCAGGGGAGCCTGGTCCTGCAAACCTGAACTGTTTTCTGTTAGCAGCCACACCGTCATCACCATCCCACTGCTCCGTCCAGAATATATGTGCTCTTTCTGCAGCTGTAAGCCAGAGAGGTTACTGGCTTTGTAGTACCCACTCTCCAGCCCTACCCCTTCCCCCGACCCCATATGCAATGTGCTGGTTTCCTCTGGATTTAGAAAGTCCCTCCTTCTCCCACAATTCATTCCCAAAGTGCTGGCATCTACATGTGCAGGTGTGAAGTAGGTGTGTATGTGTACTCAGTACATGCATCTATTCTCTCTTGAAGATCATGTTAGCTTTGTGGAAAACAACCTTTCACATTTAACACGCTTCACAGCAGAGGAAATAAAGTAATATGAGAAACACCCTGCTTGAACTTGACAATGCGAACTGGTCAAGAATAATAACCTAAAGCTATCTTACCCCCCTGTCCACTACCTTTGTCTTGCTCTGAAAAGATGGATGGAGAAAAGATCTAGTCTTTAAAAAAACTCCTGGGGAAACTGTTCCAGAGACTTTTCTTAAGAATTTTCCCCAAACTCATAACTTTCATGAAAAATTATTCTTAAAGTCAGACCAGAAATCTAACAGCTGCATTTGAAGCCCAAAAGCCTAGGTTTTTCAAGTTACAAGTAGCAGATCGTTGAGGGACTCCCAGTGCTCAGTACTAAGGCAGAGGTAGAAAGACACAAAACAGCTACCTTGTCTGACCAAGTAAAGCTTACAGACCAATTGGGGAAATGTAGTGGGCACAAAAACAGTGGAAGAACCATGTTGGGTTTTGCAGAGAAGAAAGGACCAAAACATCTGGAAAGGTCTACAAGTCATGCAGAAGCTCATAAAAGAAAAGAAGAGGGTGGTCCAGGCTCTCTCTTCAGAGGAACTTGAGTTCAGAAGTGGGACTTGTGATTCTCCCAGCCTGGCCAACTCTGTAGGATGAAAACTGCCAGAGGATGCCCTTCTCCCTCCACCCCCACACACACACCTGTCAGCTAAATGCCTGCTTCAGTTCAACTCATCAAGGGTTCCTTGCCCACTATGTGCCAGGTTCCCAACTAAGAGTTCAAGGATGGGAAATACATACCCCGTGCCCTTGAGCAAATCATAAGTAGGTAAATTGGAAATCCATGGATTGATATTTCTGCCTTACATGTTTATAACCATGCTGTGTGCAAACAGCATGGAGAAGCAAAGTTTACTTCTGCCTGGGGAAAACAGAAAAGGTACCTGTCATTTGAGCTGGCTCTTACGGATGAATTAGACTTTTCCAGATGGGAAAGGGAGAAATAAAATAACATGACTGGGAGGGGAAACAGAGCAAAAAGGTAGGAAAGCATGGGGTAGCGGGTGGGGCTGTCTAAGGAAGACCAAAGGGTCGAGTTCCCATTCTGGAGTTGTGTGGCTACCAGCTTGCAGCAGGGATATACCCCTGTCGTGCAAAAAAGCAGGAGGGTTCCTGAACTTTCCATCCCACTTCTCTTCCTTCCCACAACAGGGGCATCAACAGGGTCAGCTGGCCAGACTTCTGTCCACACCGCCTGCCACCTCCATTCCATCAGCATGCTTTGTGCCTCTCCTAATGAGAGACTAGGATTAGGACGCCTCCCCGCAAACCCTCTTGGCCAGCTCTTAGGGATCTGAGCAGCCAGGAACAACAGCAGGCTGGGTAGCCGTTTCCCACACAAGTCACACATACGTGTCCATGGACACTCCCTGAAATCCATGGGAACCATAGTATGCAGCCAGCGAGCTTGCCAAAGGGAGAATAGAAGTTGCAAGAAGGTCTAGTGTGCAAGCCTGCTGGCGCCCAGTGAAGGGTGGGAGGACAGTGGGGAGGGAGATGACTCATGCAGGGTTGCCAGGCTGGCTGTGAGGTTGAAGAGCAAGGGCAGGAGGTATGGTGACCCAGCAGGGAGGCAGGAGTGTGTGGGAGTTTATCACTGAGAGAGTGTAGATGGAGGGGGGAGCAGGTGGCAGGGAGAATGAATGAAGAGTCGAATTTGTATTCCTCACAGGAATAAATGGCTGGGGTGGGAGGGGGATCCACTCCCAGGCTGACTGTGGGGGCAGAGGGTCTCTGGTTGCAAAGCCCTGGCTGTGGAGAGAAAATGGAAGAGCACAGCCCACCAAATGTGCCATCTGCTTCCTGGGCACCCTCCTGGCTCCAAGGCTGTATCTCCCTCCACCGAGCAGAACCCCTGATACTGTCACAACCCAGATGAGGGAATGCCAGGGCATGGGAACATACTTTGTTCTGGTGCCCAAGTTCTCGGATTGGGGGAAGCCCCTTCCCACACCAGCTGGTGCCCCCTTGAGCTGAACTGTCAGGTCTGCCCCTCCACCTGGTATTCCAAAGCAGAGATGAACTCCACCAACACCATATGTTCTGAGGGCCCAGAGACACATGGCCTCAGGACTCCCCGGGATGAGGTTGACAAAGGAAGATCATGTGAGCCAAGGAAAACTCTCTGGCCTGACACTCAGGAACTCTAGGTGCTGATTTGGCTCTGTGTGATTACCTTCCCTCTCTGGGCTTTGGTTTCTGTATGGTAAGGGGCTTGGAAAGAGATTCAGAATGTGGCTGGTGAAAGAGAGTGGGGAGCAAGGAGCATCACTAAAGAGGGATGAGTGGTGCCGGCAGGTCACCCCATCCCCAGGCTGCCAAGGCACTAAGGAAAAGAAGAGCCTCTTCTGGTAGGTACATCTTGGAGAGGAGGCGAGGGGAGTGCAGACTTCCAGTCAGGAGGCCCAATTCCTACCCATGTCTTTTCCTCCTAGAGAATTTAGAGAACTCCTTGCATCCTCCTCCTTACTATTTTCTATGAGCTTGAAGTTAGCCTTCAAATCCTACCCCATCTGTTCACCCTCTCTTTGCATTGCCTAGGCCTCAGACCCTCCCTCTGGGGATTTTGTTCACCATGGCTCCTTATAGGGGCTGTGGATGTGGGAATGACTAGCCTGCCTCAGCTCAGCCTTGTTTTCTCTTTGGATTCCATCTATGAAGCAGAACATCATCACTCCAAGGCTGTAGGGAAACGCACTGGGAAGAAAGCCACCCTCCCCCAAATACACACAACCTCAATCCAGACTTCTCAGAACCTGAGAATCTGAGGGAGAAGTCCCTCCCTTCAGAAGTGGGCACTGCCTGTCCTGAAGGACTTGGCCTTATTCAGAGGGTGGGCCAGAAAGAAATGTTGCAAACAGAGTGAGAGAAGGGGGAGTTGGGGTGGAGGGAGAGAAAGAATTTCTGTTCACCAAGCAAAGGAATGGAATAGAGGACCCCCTGAGGAACAATGAGGGGAAACTGCAGGACATCAGGAAGAATGAGAAGTTGATTGGACACACATTTGCCTAGACTTACTTACTACTGCCCTCTCCCTGGCCAGTGGGCACAACCCACAGTCAACCTGTGCATCAAGTCCTCACCTCTCTGGAAGCTGTAGGGCTCCATTCGGGAAGGAAAGCATCTGAAGGGTAAGGTTCAAGGTTGGAGGGCTTAGACCCACCGGTATGCAAATGAGAAAGAGCTGGGGGTTAGGGCAGGCACTGGGCCAAAGGATAGATAAAGTCTAGAGCCCTGTCCAGAAAAGTTGGGCTTCTGGGGGCACAAAATACTGCCTTAGGAATTGTTTTAAAAATCTCATAGTTTGGTTTGAAGCGAAATATGGGAAGGGAAAATATACCTCTTGCTACTGCTGGGGACTTTCGCCTCTGCCTAGCTGAAATTAAGAAGGGGGCTGATCCAGTAATGTGTGCCAATGTTTTGGAGAGACCTGCATCATCACACACACACACACACACTCCAGCTGTGGCTACAGGCACAGTTCTACACAGACACCTCAACACCCGCACCACACACACTCTTGTCTGTGCAGATATGGGTGAACTACAAATGAAGATGGGCTGAGCCTTATTCATTTCTGTATTCCCAGAGGCAAGTCCCTGCCTGAAATTTAACAGACATCCCATAATTGTTTGTCAAGTAAATGCATGAATGAGTGATCTTTAGGGAAAAAAAAAAAAAACCACACACACACACACAGGACTCCATGATGCAGTTTCTCTAAGTCCTGCTGATTAAGGAACAGTCACGTTCTGGGTGTGTGGTTGTTTAAGAGAGAACATACCTGAATGTACAGGGGTGTGTGCAGTCTGCAGGAAGGTACGGGGACAAGGGACTTTCATGAGTGTGTCTGTGATGACCTGAGTGACTGAGCCTTTGCCAGATGTCTGCACACACCTGCATGAGTGAACACCAGTGTGGGGGTCCATGGCTGGAACAACTGGAGATGGTTCTAGCCACAGCCCAGCCTTGAGGGATCTTGAGCACAGGATAAAGGTGCTTAGCAAACATGAGTGATGAGTGACAAGAGTGCGAGCATGCAGGGGGGAGGTTGGATAAACTTGTACACCGTCAGGACTTGTACAGTGTCAGAACTGGACCGTGACGCCCCATTCCCACCCCTAGGACCCCATGAGGCTCTCAGCTTTCCTGAGTCTGCTGGCCCTGGTGCTACAGGAGGCACAGCCGGCTTCCCTCCCAAAGGAAAGGAAGAAGAGAGAAGAGTCAAGCCCTGGAGAAGGCGATGCTTCTGAAGTTCTGCATGTGGGGGACATTGGCCCAAGCCGGAATGACTACCATGAGGTCATTGACCTGAGCAGCTACGAGGAGCTCACAGACTATGGGGACCAGCTCCCTGAGGTGAGGGACGCCAAGACTGCATTCCCTGCAAGAAACGCATGTGTGTAGTGTGTGTGGTGTGTGGTGTGTAGTGTACATGTGTGTGTGTGGTGTGTAGTGTACGTGTGTGTGGTGTATGTGTGTGTGTGGTGTGTGTGGTGTGTATATTGTGTGGGTGATGTGTGATGTGTAGTGTACATGTGTGTGGTGTACGTGTGTGTGGTATGTGGTATGTGTGGTGTGTGTGCTGTGTGGTGTGTAGTGTATGTGTGTGTGTGGTGTGTGGTATGTGTAGTGTGGGGGTGTGTGTGTATGGTGTATGTGTGTGTGTGGTGTGTGTGTGTGATGTGTAGTGTACGTGTGTGTGGTGTGTGTAGTGGGGGGTGTGTGGTGTATATGTGTGTGTGTGGTGTGTGTGGTGTGTGGTGTGTAGTGTACATATGTGTATGGTATGTGTGGTGTGTGGTGTGTGGTGTGTGTAGTGTGGGGTGTGGGTGTATGGTGTATGTGTGTGTGTGGTGTGTGGTGTGTGTGTGTGTGGTATATGTGTGTGTGTCCTGGTCCCTCTCTGCCTGCCCTGTGATGCAGGTCTCTCAAGCCTGCAACTCTTTCTCTACACAAGGTGCAAATTCTTGTCCCTGCATAGGAATTTGTCACTTATGTAATATGAAGAAAGAGGACACAAACTTAGGATTTCTTTGGTTTGTTTGTGGCAAATTTGGTAGAGCATCCCCCACCGCCCAACTTAGAAGTCATACATCCCTCTGCATGTGGTAAAGCAGGGTATGAGCCCCGTCTCACTGGGGCAGGGTCGGCAGGGTGCTCAGTTTCCCTGGAAAGCAAATGCCACTGCATCTCTTCTTGGACTGAAGTTCTCCCCTGTGCTCCTGGCCTCTGCAGGGGCTGACTGTGCAGCGTGGCAGGTGAGCCTAAGAAGCCTCTGCCAACCATGGTCGGTGAGGAGTGAGGGGGAGAGCACCAGCCTAGGAAATCCAGAAATCCTGGTTCCAGCTCTGCTTTGGCACGGGCTGGCTGACAGATGGTCCCTCCCCTCTCTGGGCCTCAGTTTCCTCATCTGTACAATGAAGAGATGGGACTCAATGCTCTCAAGGGGTCCTTCCTTGCTCACTTTCTTCTGTCTCTCCCTCCTCCTGCTCCACTTTTTGCATGTTTGAAATGGTCACTAAAGTTTCCAGAGGCCAAAACGAATTCCTTCTCAGGCAGAAGCCAGCCTATTGTGTGCTGTGTGCTGTGTCTTCAGGTTAAGGTGAACAGCCTGACTCCTCCAACCAGGATGGGTCCCACCCAGAGCACTATGACTGCAAGGACACCCTCATCAAAGCCCACCGTGACCATGCCAACTACATCAGGTCTGCAGGGTTCCCTGACCAGCCATGGTAAGTGCACAGTTAAATGGTTACAATAGCCTCAGGTCATAGGCCAAGCAGCCATGACCCAGCACTGGGCAGTTTTAAAGTGGAGTTCGGTCAGAACTAAGGAGTCTGGGATCCACACTGGCCCTTGCCAGCAGTGGGAAGAAAGAACAGGAAAAAAGCCAAAGGTACAAGCTAGCTGTTCTGAATACTTTTACACAAACTGGTTATGAAGCAAAGGCATGCAAGAACTCCCCTACACCCTCGCCAAGTCACCCCACCTTAATTAAGAGCATAGCTCAGGGAGCAGGTGGAGTGGTAATTAGATTAGAGACAATTAAAAGCCTGTTGTGAGGAATAAATAACTGTGTGGCTGTCACTTGGCATGGGGGCAAATGAAGCAATCATACTGCCTTCAGCTTTAAATCACCTGCTTAGTCTTCCTGGGGACTGGGATGCTGGGGTCGCCGGCAGTGAGGGCTTGGGCTTCTGCCAGGGGTCAGAAACTGGGGCGGAGGAGGAATGAAGTTCACTCTGGACTTGCTGGCTCTCGGCATCCCTGATCTCTTGGAATGCTCGCCTGTGTGGGTGTGGGACACTGGAGCATCAGCCAGAGGCGTTTGGTCAGGAACCCATGACCTTTCAGAGCTTCAGGGGCTCAAGCTTGAAGGGACCATAAAGGGCCTTGGCCGGGCCTGCCTTTCATGGCCCCAGGGCCCCCACCTCATCTATTCCTGCTGGTCCTATTGGCAGAGAAAAGCTGCTGCTTCATCTTGAGGTTGTGCCCCTGCTACCCAGAGCTCCTCCTTGAGTGGGTCTAATACTAGTCTTGCAGTAATCTATGTGCGTTGTGATAGCAAGCGACAGAAACCACCTGTACTGTTCGGTTGTATGAGCCAGAGAAATCCTCCCGAGGTCGTTTGTTTTTGTGTTTGTTTGTTTTTTGAGACAGAGTCTTACTACATAGCATAAGCTGGCCTGGAACTCACAATACTCCTGCTTCATTCTCCCAAGTGCCTGAATTCTGGAATTACGATATGCACACCAGGCCTGGTTCGAATCATACAATGTATCAACTATGTGTCAGAGAAGCAGTTCTTTGTGTTTTGTTTTGTGGTGCTGGGAATCTACCCAAGTTCTTGTGCATGCTAGGCAGGGGCTCTGCCACTTGTCTACATCTCCAACCCCTTGTCCCAACTTTTAAATCCAGTGTGACCTGGGTGGCCTGGCATTGGCCTCATGACCACAGAATGCAGAGATGGGGGTTAGGGACTGGGAATAGGAGAGGGCAATTTCCCAGTGGAAAACTGGGATGCTGATGGCTGTGGAAGTGGAAATGGGTGTTGGCCAGGTGTTGACGCCACCTTGACTCTGTTATGCCCCTTGGAGCCACACAGACTATGCCCAACGCCTCTCCCCTAAGCCAGCAGGCAGAACCAGCTGTTCTAAGTAGTTCTGGCTTTTATTTCATCTGCACTGAACCTTCTGGGACCAGAGAGGAGCCCTGTGGAAAAGAGACTGGTCAAGATCCTGACTCACATGGACTCAGGAAAACCTACGAAGGACCATGGCCTGATGGAGGCACAAATGTAATTGCACTGAATGGTAACTGAGAGTGAAGTTGCTTTTCTTAGGACAAGAGCTGAGTGGTAGGCTGAGAGCATCCAATAATACTGTCTGAGACCTTGTGCCAGGCAGTAACCCATAGGCCATCAAGAGGACACTGATACCTGTGGCTCAGATACTCCCTGGGACAAGCACCACTAGCACAGAGACTGAAGAGAGTCTGACCAGGGACATCCTTTTGTTCTGTCTTTCACTTTGGCCAGGCCTACCCACCTGCCTGGTCTGTGTGTGCCTCGGTTCTTCTGTGTACTGTGATGATGCTGACCTGGAGAACATTCCTCCTCTTCCCCAGATGACCACCTACCTGTATGCCCGCTTCAACCACATCAGACACATCAGGGCCAGAGACTTCAAAGGGCTGAGTAAGTAGCACCCTGAGAAAAGGGTAGAGGGGACAGGCAAAAGGCAACCACTAGAGTCTTTTCATTTGCACTTGACCACATGAACAGTGGCCAGACATTATTAGGCCCCCACCTGTGTTAGCCTTTGCTCTTAGTCTCTCTAGTTGTCAATGGTACATGGCCCAGGTCCTTCTCATTCCTTTCCTTGAAGAGTTGAAGTGCATGCCTATTCTCCTTCATTCTTCCCAAAGACCTGGGAAGCTGGCAAGGGAAGACATAATCAAGCCAACGTTTTTAGGATGCCCCAGCAACTGTAGCTTGGCTGGCTGCTGGACAAGACCAAGACCATCCTAAATCTGTCTTCCATGGCACTGATGCTATTTACAGGGCTGTAGGCCTGTTTGCTGCTTTAGGACTTATACTCTGTTGAGATAGAAGACCTGGGCTCTCCTCTAGCTTCTACCACTAAGCACCCACACCCTTTCCAGGCCTCAACGTCCTTGGAGAAAATTAAGGAGTGCTGGGGTGGGAGTGTGTGATGGTGATGGATCCAGGGATCCCTCAGCTTGTTGGTTCTTCACTTGGAGAAGAAGCTGCTACATAGCCAGAACTTGAAGGAAGGGTGTGGAGGAATCTGAGGGCTATTCTGAGGAGTCCTGATTCGGACTGTTACTTCTGATTTGGACCTGGTGCAGGTGGAGATGGTTAGAATCCCTTATCTGGACAGGGATGGAGCAGGCTATGGAGGCAGCTCTAACGGGGGAGAAAGAAAACAAGAAAACATGACATGTTCCAGTATGGCTCTTTGTTCTCCCCCAACGTTCCTCAGCAAAACTGAAAAGGATCGACCTCTCTAGCAACTTCATCTCTTCCATCGATAATGATTCCTTCCACCTGCTGCCTGCTCTGCAGGACCTGATCCTCCCAGAGAACCAGTTGACTGCTCTGCCTGTGCTGCCTCGTGGTCTTGAGGTCCTGGATGTCCGCCTGAATCAGCTCCGCAGCTCAGGGATACAGCCTGAGGCCTTCAGGGTGAGCCAGTGTCTTCCATCCACCGTATACCACCTTCCTCCCCCATACACTGTGCCCTCAGGGGTATCCCTACTTCATCCTTGTTCTAGGGTACAAAAATCAATGCCCATTTTTCATCCTTTCCATTTGTTATTTCTTTGGGTTGAAAGAAACTAAGTCTGCCTCAAGAAAAGGGACATGTCATCCCCAAACCCTCTGTGGATGAGAAACCCTGTTCTGTCAAGCCTCGTGCACCTATTACAGGGAATGGGAGAACCACAAACCAAGATCAGCCTCTCTCCCTCTCCCTCTGTGGGACAGACGGTCTCTTGTCTTGGCTTTTTTCCATGCATCTGCTCCATTCACCTCTCTGCATACTCACCCATTCTGCTCCCTGAAAACTCTGGCTTACCCATGACTTTGGCTTCAATAATTCTGACTTTACCCCCAACTCCTACATATCATTTTATTTCCAAACCCAACCCTAAGTGACTAATCATTGCCTCTCTGTGATCATGCTTTCAAGAGACACAATCTGATGGATCACTGACTGGCCAGTTTTGATGGGAATGGCTAGGTCACATGACACAAATATGGCCCCATGGGTCTGCCCACTAAATCAAGATAGGAAGAGCCCAGGGTGCAGTTCTACTGAGGAAGTGAAGCACGGTGTAGACAAGAGAGATATTCTGCCCCCTTCCCAACATGCCACCTGAATTATTAGAAACAGCCTTCAAAGACCAGCTGGTCACCCTTCATCTCATCTCCTTCATTTGAACTCCCCTTTGGGCTCTCTCTGTTGCTCTGTTAAGTACAGTCACACCACATAACATTTCCTTCAGCACGTATTTAATGGTAGCCTTCTAAGACTGCCTCACCTAGTGACATTGTAGCCTTCTCAGTTTGTGTAAATACACTCTATGATTTGTTACAATGGCAAAACTACCTAATTATGAACTCTCAGAATATACCCCATCTAATGACTGTATGCATGACTGTAGTAGGCTCTTTTTTGCAGATGAATTTATGTTCAGAAGCACCAAATAGGTCAAGTAAGAGCTACCTTTATTACTTTTTTTTTTTTTGAGAAAAGTTCTCACTATATAGCCCAGTCTGGCCTTAAGCTTAGGCTCCTTCTGCCTTAGCTACCAGAGTGCTGGAATTACAGGCGTATGCCACGTTGCTGCCTTTTTGAAACTGAGTGAAGGCACAGAGGCATGCTTGTTTGCTCTCTCTCCCCATCCCTCCCCAAACACCTCCCACCCTCTCAGTCTTCTGTGTGCAATCATCCTGCATTGGGCTGCAGAGCACAATGTCAAAATCACTGTTGAGGTGGGCATCCAAAACTGGCTGCATGCCAGATCAGGCTTCTGCTCTCCCACCTCTAAGTGAAGAGCTGGGATTGCATGAAGGTTGAGCTGGGATTGCATGAAGGTTGCTGTGCCGGCATCCAGGCTGTCTCCATATTAGGGGGTGCTTCTTTGCCTTGACTCAGGGCTGCTTTCTCAGCCTGGATAAAGTCGGGGCTTTAGAGCCAGAGGGACCTAGGCTCATGGATGAGTGACCTCCCATCTGATCTTGTTTCATCTGCAAAATGAAAGTGATAATACCCTATTTGACACAGTTGCTGCAGTATTAAATAAACAGCCATGGCACAGAGCACAGAAAGATAAACACAGATGGGAGACACTCCATAAATGGTAGCCATTGTTCCTCACCGCTCTCTGAGCCCCCTGAAGATTATCTCATCCCTAATCCATCCCTGATTATCCCTACCTGATTCTGGTATTGCTGTCATGCTCACACACTTGGCCTGCTTGCGGGTGTCTTGGGGTTTTATTCTACTTGCCTGACATCTGAGCACACTCTTTAGTTTTGTTCCAGGCTTAGCCCTGGGAGACTTTTCACTGAGGAAAATCCTTTCTGATGGCAGAGAGTCTGAAGCTGAGCTGCAATGTCCCCTGTTCCTCTCCTCTCCTCCTCCCTGCCATCACTAACAGCTCCTTCACATTCCCCCAGCTGCTGTACTCAATGGCAGCAGCTTTCCTTCAGCATCCAGTTGGAATGATGTCTGTAAGGTCCTTAAAGAACCAGCAGCCTGAGCTGGGCACTGTGGTGCATACCTGTAATCTCAGCATTCAGGAGGTAGAGGCAGAAGGATCACAAGCTTCAGGTCAGCCTGTGGAGTTCCAGGCCAGCCTGGTCTATATAGTGAGACCCTGTCTCAAAAAATAATAAACCCCTACAGCATCCAGTGCATGCTAAGTAAACCGTGAATGAGTGAATGGACCACCTAACTCTGGTCTCATGGGGCAACTCCTTACTGCCAAGGTCTGAGAAGACCTGCCAGCCTCTCCTAATCTTTGTGTCCCCACAGGCACTAGAGAAACTACAATTCCTCTACCTGGCAGACAACCTCCTGGATTCCATCCCCTGGCCTTTGCCCTTGAGCCTGCGCTCGCTACATCTGCAGGTGAGGAGCCTCAGCCAGAGCAGGGGTGGCAGACAGCTCGGGGGTGGAAGGCAGGTGGGAGTTGGACAACCAGGGGAATGAAGCCTTGGCAACAGGGGTGTCCTGGAGATGTGGTCTTATCCAGATGATTACCCATGGCATGCTCCTTTCAGAATAACGTGATAGAGACCATGCCGAGAGACATCTTCTGCGATGGAGGGGAGCCCAGGCACACCCGCAGGGAGCTGGAAGACATCCGTCTGGACAGCAACCCCATCAACCTGAGCCTCTTCCCCGACGCCTACTTCTGCCTGCCTCGGCTCCCTGTAGGTCGCTTCACTTAACTGCCAGTGCTGGCATCCCAGGTAGAGCCCTTAGGCCCTCGGAGGGCTCAAGAAACTCGCATGTCTAAAAATCAGTCTTCAGTCCAAGCACCAGTCTCCTGATCTAGTTGCCACACCCGCGTGCGCGCGCGCGCGCACACACACACACACACACACACACACACGCGCGCGCGCGCGCGCGCTGTGATGTCGTTCACTCATCAAATTTGCATTTCTCCCTCCTCTTCCCTTAACACCTTATGGCTCCTAGCTCAGAGAACAGCAGTGCCACCAGCAGAGTTCTATGCCACTTTCCCATCCCTCCTACCCCCAGGGAATGCCAGGAAAGCCATGAAGGAAGAAGAGGAGGAGAAGGAGGCGTGGAAGAAGCAGGGATATTGGAGCAGGAGAAGAGGAGGAGAATTGACCAGCTAGAGCTGGCTCTTATTAACCATGAAACTTGCAAGAAACGATGATTAAATTTTCCAGAATTTTGCAAGTCAGTTGTTAAACACAGCCATTATGAAAAGTACATTTTAGAGCCTTTCAATTAAACATATCATATTGTGAACAAATGCAATACTCAAAACTCATCACTTCCCAATTATTTTACTATATTTTATTACGAATCCCATGTTCTTGAAGTTATTTATGTACTTGGTAGCTGTGTAATGGAAATTCTGTAGAATGTGTGTTGTTGGGTACCTCTTCCCAACTCGTTCAGTGGCATCCCATTGGTTAGTGAGAGATTTACACCAAGGAAATCCATAAATGTCATAAATCAGGATTTTTTTTTTTTTTTGAGAGCTGGTTGTTAAAAGCTGGCTAGCACACCACCGAAAGAACAGCTGTTTAATATAGTCCTCCTTACCCCTACTAGGCTGCCCACCGAAGATGAGTAGGGTTTCCTGGGCCATTCCTTAATTTCTTGCTTTTCCTAAGCCAAGACCTCCTGTTCCATTTGGAAGGAGCCTCTGGGCAGCACTGACCTTTTCCCTGGTTCTTCCTCCCCAGTCTCTGAGCCTGGCTCAGGCCTTTGATTTCCAGCCACTGGGTTTCCATCCTTCTCACTCGCTCCTGCACATTCAGCCAGCAGAGGGCAGCCTTGTGCAAAAATAAATAAGTAAACATAGCAATTACTCACCTGCAGCCTTGGATCCTGGGGGAGGCCTGCTGTGCTGGGGGTGGGATGGTGGGGGGGAAGGGAGGGAGAGATGGGAAGAAGAGCAACTATTATCTACCCAACTTGATCCTTGAGTGATGAGGAAGCAGCAATGCCACACTTCCTTGCTGTTTTTTGAGACAGGGTTTCACTATGTAGCCCACTATGTAGGGTTTCACTATGAAGTCTTAGAGGTGCTACGAGGTGCCCTTGTACCTTGGTTGAGGTGCCTGCCTTCTGATCTAGAGACCAAGATTCCAGCACACCTCACCTCAGGGGAGGGCTGGGAAGGTGGGAGCCAATAGCTCCTTATCCCCCAGCAACTAGAGCTCTCTCTGACTCCAAGGAGTTTGTTAGAGCAGAATCTCTCTTTCTCTCTCACCCTCCCTCCCTCCGCATCCCCCATTTCTGTGTTTGCTTGTGTGTGTTTCTCCATTTCTCTCTTTCTCTCTCATCCACCAAACCTAGCCCTATCCATAACCCATGTCCCTTTTCCCTTTCATACCCACTTTATTGCATCATGAGAGGACGTAGGCATGCGACAGCCAAAAGCCTCAAGTCCCTAACTGCAAGTGATCCTGACTGAAGGGACCCACTACATATGTGGGTGTGTGTGTGTGTGAGATTTCCAGAACTGGGCTCCTGGGTGCTGGAAGCCACATCAAACCTAACACCCGTGGTGAATTTGTACCCACAGTAAATCATCTGCCCTCCCTGTGCTGGCAATTCCTGGGCTCCTGGAGTTTGTCACACACTGCCATGGAAGTTTTGTTTTCCTGCCACACAGAGTCCAAAGGACAACCCCAGAGAAGGGACATTCATCTTCTGACTGCAGAGAAGTAAACAAGCCTATCGAAGGAATTGTTCCACATTCAAAGTGACAGAGCTAGGACTTAAACCCAGGTCCACCTATCCAGGATCTCAAGCCCTCCTCAGTCCCCTGGAAGGTCCTGTAGTCAAGCGCCAGTCAGGAGGCAGGCTATGCCTGTGTCCCCAAGGCCTTCCTGTGCTGGGTAGGATTTCCCCAATCTACGCCTCTGCAACTGTCTCCTGACTAATCCCAGTTTTTTGGATAGGGAAGCCTATCCAAAAAACTGCCCTTGTTGGCTGTCTCCCTGAAGAAATTCCAAACAAAGCATCTGTCCCTTGGCTGCAGGGAAGGGGATAGGGATCAACTCTCTCCCAGCAGCTGTTACATCTCAGTCTTATGTGAAGAAGCAAGGCTTATGTTGCTGGTGGATCAGGAGTTAGGATTGGCCCTGGCAATGCGAGCAGAGAGTGGTCTGGAGGGTGGGTAACAGCAGCCCTGAGACAACAAACGAGTGGGGCCTGATGAGGGAGTTGTGAGGCCCCATCAACATGGCAGCCAGCCCATGTGCATCACTGCCCAGGCCAGCGAGCAGCCTCTGTTTGCTGAAGATCTGCCTTCTCCAAGAAAAAGCATGTCTAACCTCACTCTCCAGGTCCTGAGAGTGCACCTCAGGGCACCTGTGTCTCACCCTAGCAAAGGTACTTGTGGCTCAGCAGCCAGGACTGTAAGGAAAGCAGCACATCCCTCCTCAGGTTCCCAAGGCCTTCAGGGGAGTCCTAGCCTCAAGAAAGTCACCCTCACCTATCCTGGAGTATTGGAGGGAGGAGGAGCTAGAGAGGAAGAAGCCAGGGCCCTCCTCTTCCAGACAATGAGTGAGCTTCATCCATGTTGCCCTGCACCTGCTCAGTCCTCGGCAACACAGTCCTGCCTCTCGGTGAAGCTCACCCAGTCAGGCCAGAGCCAGGGGAGGAAAGGAAGGGTGGGAGAGGCTGTGAGGGGCTGGAGCCTAATCCATGTGAGGAGCCAGGGAGGTTTCCTTGCCCTGACCTCACCTGGACTTCCTTCCTGCTGTCCTTCCCCTTTAGCTACCCGCCCCCAGTAGAAATCTTTTACTTTTATGTACAATGCAATACTTTACAAAGCTCTTTTACACAGGGGATCGAATTCCTTCCACGAGGAAGGAATTATTGTCCCTACTTCACAGATAGAAAGTGGTTGGTTAAGTGCTTTGTCTAAGAGAAAGACAACAAGCTGCATATAATAAGAGTTGGGAAGCCGGAAGTGGTGGTGTGTGTCTGTGCTCAGGAGGCTGAGACAGGAGGATCGTGAGTTCGAGGCCAACCTGGGCTACATAGGAAGCCCTTGTCTCAAAAACCCCAAACCAACACTAATGAAGATGGAGTGGGGCTGTGGGGAAAGTCATCATTTCTCGGGAATTCCTTCAGGAAAAGCAGAAAATCCCATCTCCAGAACCTGGAGCACTTTGTTTATTACTTATTTGTTTGTTTGTTTACATGGTGCCAGGGTGGAATTGTTGGCCTTACGAGAGTGCTCTACCATCGTGCTACATTCCCAGTCCTTCAAAGTGCTTTGAAAGCAAGGACTGAAGAGAGAGAGCATCTCCTAGGCTGGAAAAGGGGTGCTGCCCACATAGCCTGAGTTGGTTGCCAGCCAACACCCCCAGGGAGGACACGAGGTAATGAGGAGGCTCTTGGAGGAGGCAGAGAACCCCGGGGCTCAAGGACACACTGCCCCCATCTCTTTCCACCCCCACATGCCTGTGTCTGTGTCCTCCTTATTCCTGGCCAGGAAGGAGCCAGACAGAGGAGGTAGCCTGGCTCTGCCCCGCCCCCTCCAGTCTGGACCTCTCAGCTTTCTCCTTTCTCCTGCCAGCCCCCCCCCCCCCACCCCCAAACATCAGCTATGCGGCCTGTCCTCTCTCAAGGTCGTCTCCCAGCCTGGCCACACACTTCCGGTCTCCAGCAGCAACCCCCCCCCCACCGTCTCACAGGCCTCCCTCCCATGGTCACTGGTCACAGCAGCTTGGTGGAGGATTCTCCACTATACAGGAGGAGGATGCCTGTTTACTCCCCCGCTGTCTCCCTCACCCCCTTGGTGACAAAGAAGCAATAGGCTCACCTCCTTCCTGCCTAGCTGCAGTAAAATTCCTCACACTCAGGCCTCCTCCTTGTCCTGCCTGTCTAGCCCTTCCAGACATGACCAAACCCACAGCAGGCATGGGTTCCTCAGCATATGCACACACACACACACACACACATGCACACACACTCTCCCTCCATTCTCTCTGTCATCTTTGCCATGTCCTCTTCTGTGCCCGGTAGGGGAGCAAACATCTTTTAGCCTCCTCCTGGCACCACTGTCTAGCCTTGTCTTCAGAGTCCTTTTCTCCTGCTAGTTCCTTGGTTGGGACTCAGGAGGGAGTAGACATGCTTTATGCTGTGACCACCTGTAAAGGACCTGGGAACAATGAGAGTCCCAGTTCTGAGTTTGACCATCTGCTGCCCTGCCTTCCTGTGGGACAAGTGTCAGATCACATCTTACCCCATCTGCACCATTGGGGGACGAGGGAGTAGCCAAAGCACATTCAATCCAGGGGATTGCTTCTCCCTCCCTATGAATTTCCTGCTCCAGTTTCCCTGGAGCACAGACCAATGTGGACAAAGAGGTGTCTGGTGGCCAAACAGAACAAAAGGAAGTAAAAAACCAGACAGCACAGGTGACTCTTGCCTAGAAGAGAGACCAATTCCAGCTCTCCTTGGCCGTCCTGACCCCTCCGAGCCCCAGAGCTAGCAACACTTGGATGGCACATCGCCAGTACCCGAGGCCCCTCCGGGTTACAGCATGAAGTCTTTGCAGAGGCTCCTAGAGCCTGGCACCCGTGGGAGCAGCAATGTCTCCCTTGGGGATTTAAGAAATCTCTCTGGGGGAAATAAGCCTCTGACCTTGGGGAATTGATGGGCAGGGAAGAGGGGGACCATCTGGAAATGCATGAGGTCCTTGAGAAAGACCAACCCAGAAAGATACAAA